AAAAGTTCATATCAACCGGAGGGGATGGTTCAGGGAAGAATGATGCTGCCAATGGTGGCATTCCTCTACGTGGCAATTTTAGAAAATGTTGGGATGGGGAAGGTACTGTTGAGCTTGCTCAATCTGGTACAGAAGTGAAAGAGAAAGCATCGGGTGATTTTAAACCCAGATCATGTAAATCTTCTACCCTGGGTTATCGCGATAGAGATTCTATTTGCAAAATCAGCATTAAAACTAAACATTGTTCTAGATTGCAGAATAGCCATTTGTTCAGTGGTGATACTCATTTTGAAGAAAATGGGCAGCATGCTGTAGAACATTCAAGTGGTGAGGATAGAGTGAACAAGGAGTGCCATGCCAATGCATTGTTTTCTCAGAAATCTGATAAGGTTTCCACTTCATGGACAAAGGAGAGTGAAAGTACTTCTTCTGCTGTTAAGATGAATGTTTATGATCCAAAGAATGAACAGGAAGATTTGTGTTCCAGAAAGAGCATGAAGTATCGACCAGATGTTGACCCTGAGGGTCATGCACTTCAAGAAACAATTGCTGATGGTAAACGCAATTTGCCTGATAAGTCTAACGCTAAATCTAGCAAGGATGAGAAGCATTCTGTTGGAAGGAGGGATCCTTCAGGACGATGGTCAAGTGATAGTAGAATGGAAACCCAGTCAAATATAAAGCATGATGGATTTGATGCAAAATCTGTTGCTCCATGCAGCACAAAGGGGAAGACTGCCCCTGAGCAAAATCTGATCAAGGATTTTGGTGGTCAAACTAAAGTAATGAAAGTACAGTTAAGAAGTGGAATGTCAAAATCATCCTCGCATTGTGAAGTTGAAAGTCAGCAAGAAATAAAAAGTTATCAAACAGTACCAGAAGCCCAACAGGGAGTTGTCTCTGATGGGTTTCCAGTTAATGGCTCTGGCAATGGTGATGTGTCAAAGGCTTTAAAACAGCCTGGAAAAGCTGGCAGTAAGAATGGATCTAACCACAGCTTGGGACAGCACATACCTGATTTGCCTGTAGTCAGAGACTTCAATGCTCCCAGTCCTGGAAGAAAAAATATTTCCAGCCAGGCAGCAACTAATGCACTGAAAGAGGCTACGGAGCTTAGAAATTATGCTGATCGTCTTAAGGTTTCTTTTCAGATTTTGTTCTTACATATAAGTTATAGAAAAAAGGGTTTTGCTATCCTAACTGTTACTACCTGTTTTCTTCCAGAGTTCTGGTTTTGTTTTTGAAAGCAATGAGATTTACTTCCAAGCTGCCCTTAAGTTTCTTGGCGTTGCTGCTCTTCTAGAGGCTAGCAATACTGAGAGGGGTACATATGGGGACATGAATCAAATGCAAGTGTATAGCACTGCCACTAAACTTTGCGAGTAAGTGAATGTTTCTAAAGTGATGGGGTAACTTTTTTTTCTCAAAATCAGTAGAATTTTATATATATACATTAGGAGTGTTTATATGTCCCTATATTGCTTTATACTGAACTTCTCAAGTTCACAGAATGTGTGCCCAAGAATATGAAAGACGACATGAAATGGCTGCTGCTGCTTTGGCTTATAAATGCATGGAGATAGCTTACATGAGGGTTGTTTACTGCAAACATTCTACTAGCAGCAGAGACCGGAATGACTTGCAAGCAACTCTACAGATGGTTCCTCAAGGTAACAAGTCATCTGAGGGTATATAGTCAGGCTTGTTTTATCTTTCTGTGCTTTATTGTACATCTCCTTAGATGCTGTGAATTCTTCTATTTGGTGATGTCTACCTTTAAATTTTGAAGCATGTGCAATAAGTGTTGTTGTCTCAAAACGCCAGCTATTTTAATTAGAAGATTTACCTAATTGTATAACTTAAACCATTTGGTGTCGGAGTGGGGAAGGGCAGTCAGCAGTGCTTGTGCCCATTTTAGGTTTTATTTGTAGCTGAAATGTAGATATTTCTTTTTTGGTTTTCCTTTTGTAGTGAACCTTGATTGGACTAGAGTTCCAGATGCAACTTCTTTAGTTAGCATTTTTTTTTCTTTTGCACATGTTGGAATGCCCTAAGATGAAGTACCTCACAGCATCTTTTTGAATGGCTTCTTTCAGGTGAATCTCCATCATCTTCTGCATCAGATGTTGATAATATCTTAAACAATCATTCTACAGTGGAAAAGGCTCCATTAGCCAAGGGTAATGTTTCACATGTTGCCGGAACCCATGTCATTCTTGCTAGAAACCGCCCAAGTTTTGTTCGGCTGCTTGACTTTGTAAGTTGATTTAGTCTGACAAGGCCAATCTTTTCTTTTCTCATCTCTCTGTTCTGTTTCTGTTTTTCGCTCACATTGTCAGTCTCTCTTGGTTGCTTCTTTATGATTTTATATGTTATATTAGGCAGTGATCTACACAGATTATTTACCTCAGTATTTATTGGAAATTGTCCTATAAAATACGCTTTGATCGAAGAATGTTTCTTGGTAGATGAACTCCAATTATTAAGGACAGCTTGTAAAGTTTTTATCAGGTGGTTAGATATGTGATTTCGGGGGAAGTAAGAGGATAATCTGAATGAAGTGTCATAAAGGCTTATGAGAATGCTTAGCCACGGGCCCTGCAGTATACAGTTGCATTATCTGACTAGGGTTTTTTGGTGATATATGTTCTTAACTTGCTGGTTTAGAAAAGCAAACTATTGCTTGAAGGATCTTTGAGTTAGCCCTTCTATATAGTTAACACAGGAAGTTAATATTCTTCTTTTTCTTGATTGTCCAATAGATTGATGTCTACAGCTTGACCATGCTTGTTGGTAGACTTTTAGTGGCAGGCTTATGCTGTTTTCCTTTTTAAATAGTGCTTGTCATGCTCTGATTAAGGACAAGGGATATTTTGAGAGTTGGCCTGTCCTGAGGTTTGACAAAAATAAATTTAAGACCTGAAGTCTGCCCAAGGATCTTTATTTTAAAAATAAAGTTAGAAATCAAATCATTCAGTACAGGTTATAGATAACCACTGGTATAATCTCGTATGAACTTGATAAGAAAACCCTGTCCCTCAATGTCTATGTAAGCTAATAAGGTGGTTCAAGTAAGTAAATGTGTTGATATGTTACTGTTCTGCAGACACAGGATGTAAGCTTTGCAATGGAGGCTTCAAGAAAATCTCAAAATGCTTTTGCAGCTGCTAATTTAAAACTGGAGGAAGCTCAAAATACGGAGTGCATTACTTCTGTTAAAAAGGTGATTGATTTCAGCTTCCAGGATGTGGATGGACTTGTACGTATGGTTCAGCAGGCTATGGAGATCATAAGTCGTTCTGGTTTAGGTGGTGCTAGAGATTAAGTCACCCCTGTATATATTGTTTTTTTTTTTTTGGTTTATAACCCCCAATGTGCATTGGAGAAGAAAGGGGAAAAAGATGCCTACTTAAACCTGCGTTTGGAGACAAGCAAAGACGTGGTCACCAACAGCCAGTTACCTCCCTGTACATGTGTACAAAGTGAGATTGATTTGCAAACTTTGTAATGTATATTTTTGATGTTCACCTTCTTCTTGACATTGATAAGAGCATAGCATGCTCACCCTTAAGTTTTCTGGGTTGGCAAAAGAGGATAAAGTTCTAGCTTGTTCGGCAAGAGATTTGGAGTTCTATGTAAGATGCCAGTTCCATAGAGTACATTTTTTTGGCTCCATTGTTTTGGGGCCTGAGGAAAAGAATATATATAGCAGTTGAAAATCGATAGGCAACCATTTTGAGGAGGTTGAATACTGATATAGTGTTGACACTTATCAATTTATCCATCAACGGCTCTCTGTTCTGTTAACAATTTGTTCAAAATTTTATTGGAATGGAAAATGATATTCTTTTGGAAGGTTCCTGTGTTATTTTAAAGTTGCCAAGCTTAATGTGCTTAAGATGTGCAAGTTCCGAACTTAGGGAAGCAATCTTTACATTCAGGTATGCAATACTTATATCATGCCATTTGGTCACTGTATTATGTGAAATTAACATTTGACAGGAATTTGTGATGATTGTGATGGTGCTTTCGTTCCTTATTCTTCTTCAACCAGCTTGTTTTCATTATTCTTCTCAGAACTATGGTGGATAGTGACAGGCAGTGCCTTAATTTGATCAATGTGGGTGTAAATAATCACATGCAGTGGTTCGAATAGAAATATTCAAAGTTATTTTTTTCTTTGGGGGTGGGGATGGGGTTGGCCAAGGTGGGTTTATCTGTATGCTTGTTATGTTCATTTCAGAAGTTAAGGGGAGCATGCAGAGCAGGGTGGTTAACTTACTAGTATCTTGGCTTTAGATTGAGTTAGCTGCTTCATTGGTGTTGAACTGCAAAGTTCAGTAGATGACAGGCCTTTGCATTGTAGTGCTCCTTTTTCTTCTGCCCACCTACACCAATATTTGTGCAGTATTAGTTGTGTTAGGACACATATGTATCACTGAGTGGCTTGTAATAAGCAATGAACTTTCGCTATATTTGTTATTATGAAAGCGGTTATTTTAGTTAGCATCATATATCTTTTTGGTTGAATGGTAATGTGTAATATGGTTGAAAGCTGCAACATTTTGTGTTGTCATCTGGTATTTGCACAAATCTTAGATTGAAAGGAATTGGCTCTGCAATTTTGAAATTGATACACTGTGGAGGATAATCCTTGTTTTGCTGATTTATACTTGCACACCAATTATTTATGTTTATATTTACAGACTGAATGAGGTAATTCTACCACTTAAAGTGGTTGTCCACTTCCAGCTATGAAGTTTATTGGTATTTAGTGCAATAAAATGAATAATTTCTTCTTGAATATGTAACCAATGCAGCTTCTGGTTTTGCATCTTGTCTATAATGGTCTGAACTTATCATCTTGGGCACATCTAAATTGTCTGTTTCTACATCTTTGATTATGTCATTTTCACTGATTTTCTTCATTAAGCAAGACCTAATTTAATGTGATAATATTCTATCCCAAGGATAAACAACAAGATATAAATTAGCAGCCGTCACCAAAAATCTCTGCAAGTGCAGAGCCCTTTGTCAAAATGATGAAATCTGTTGACATCTCTTACTACAATATCTCTCTCTGTGATTTCACTTATCCACTTGAATGCCTCATGGCAATCCCTGCACATTCTCAAGTTCTTCATTATCCTAATGGTTACTCCTTTAGGTATATTTATCAACCCAAAAGCCAAGGCAAGTTTCTCACTGTGAAGACCAACCATTTCTTCCTTGGCTTCCTCTTCAACGTCAATGAACACCAAGCCTGTAAGCCTTCCAATGTAACCTCTCTCTTTCATCTTCCCTTCCAACTCCCTCAACAAGCTCAGTATGTCGCTCCCTCTTTCACCTGAGACATCTCCAGCATGGAAGACATAAGTTGAGTCCTTAATCTCAACCCAGCTGCAACCAGGTTCCTTGTAAACTCCAGTCCTCTTCATGTCAGTCCGAAGACTCTGCGCATTCTCCCACTGACCAGCCAATGCATAAGCGTTTGACAATGTGACATACGCAAGAGCTACTTGCTGATTGGATTCTATGAGCCTCTTGCTAGCTTCAGCAGCAATCTCTACCCTTCCATGGAGTCTACTAGCAGAGAGAAGTGTCCCCCACAACACAGCACCTTCGTCATTATTCACTTCAGTAGATTTTGCTAACTGATAAGCCTCATCAAGACGACCTGTCCGACCAAGCATATCAACAACACAGATGTAATGCTTTGCTTCTGGCACTATCCCATGTTTCCTAGACATGGAATTCAAGTACTCAAGGCCTTCATCGACAAGTCCCGAATGGCTGCAAGCATGCAGAACCCCAACAAAGGTGACACCATTAGGCTTTATTCTTCTAGCAATCATTTCCTCGAAAAGTTCAAGAGATAGTTTCCCAAGTCCATGTTTCCCAGCAGCAACAATCATGGAAGTATATGGGATCACAGAAGGATTCGGAACTCTCCGAAAAAGTCTGTCAGAATAAAGAATACACCCACATTTGGCATACATATCCACCAATGCACTGGCAACTACATCATTCGAATCATGGCCATGTCGAATCACTGCCCCATGTGTAACCTTCCCTGAAACCAACTTCCCCAAATTTGCACAAGCGGTAATAACACTAGCCAACATGAACTGATTTGGATACTCCCAAGCCAACCAATTAAACTCTCTGAAAAGTCCAAGTGCTTCATCCCCCCTTCCATTTTGTGCACATGCTGTGATCATTGAAGTCCAAGAAACAACATTCTTACACTCCATTGACTCAAAAACCCGCCGAGCTAATCCAACCTCGTTACACTTCCCATACATATCAACAAGCGAAGAGCAAACCACAAGGTTGCATTGAAACCCGAAACTCTGCACGTGTGCATGGATTTGTTTCCCTGTTTTAAGGTCAGCAAGCATCGAACACGCGTTGACCGCGGTTGCGAAGGTGAATTCATTAGGCAAGACCGTACCTTTCCGCATTTCTCGAAAGACCCAAAGACAAATTTGAGATTTGCCCATGTTAACATAACCCGACATGAGAGAAGTGTAGGAGACAACGTTCGGTTCGGGCATTTCATCGAACAGTTGGTAAGCTTGGCCTGCCTTTTGGAGCCTAACGTAGCAATTAATGAGATGATTAGCGGTGAAAGTGTCATTAAGGAGACCATGTTTAAGGATTTTAGCATGGGTTAAGGTTGCAAAAACATAGTCGTTGCAGCTCTGGAGGGTTTGAATGAAATGGGTTCTTGTATGGAAGAAGTATGGAAAAGAACAGTTTTTGGGTGTGAAAGATATAGCTTTTAGACCAAGTTTCAAGCTTGGTTTAGAGCTAAACCCTGGACAACTCAACAAGCCCATGAAACTACCATAAGCCCATTGCAAATTCCACCTGTCAGAGTGGAAAAGTGAATTTGTATATGAGAAGGAGAGAGAGAGAGAGAGAGAAAGGGCGGAGCAGGGGGAGTGGGGATCATAATTTTGTCAAGAAAAATTGGGACGCAAACAAGTCATTAGGATACAAAGGGTCTTTTCTCATCCATTGGACCATCCTACTTTGCTATATAATCATGGGCTTGTTTGGTGCTCAAAAATGGGTTTAAAAAGGGTAATGATTTACTCCAAAATCAAGGCAATGGTAATTCAGAAAGCAACATACACAAAAAAGAAGAGAAGGAAAAAAAAAAATCTTTACTGTCTCGTTATTCCTTAGTGTGATCTTTAATGCTCGCTTTGTAGTAGACAAGTTCCTCCTTGGCACTGAAATTAGTACCTTGCATTAGTACTCTACAGGGGCAGCAATCTTAAATCACTTTTGGACTTTGATGTCCTAGCTGGCTCCCCTTTCACTATCCTCTTTTCTTTTATCTCCTCGTAAAAACTTCATTGCTTTTGGAAAGTTGTTCTCAATGCAAATGGTAAAAATCTCAACTTAAAATGATGTAGATTACATCATTAAAGGGCTAGAAATGATTATTTAGAGTACATGAGTTTCCTTGTAATTTGTGTATGTGTCTCATCCCCAAGGAGAAAATAAATGGTGAGTTGTAGTTGTAGTTGCTGTTTGCTACCTCATAAGTCATAATGAGGACCAATATGCAGCTAGCAATGGTCCAGTTGCACTTTTCAAGAAACCATGGGTGAGTTAAAGTGATCATGAACACCCATACTAAGTTACAGCATTGGATGGAAAATAGTGCCTAAAAGCCCATGTTAAGAGGATCTTATGATACCAGAGAAAGAGAAGGAGGAGGAGGTGGAGAAAGGCAAAATTGACAATAACATCACTAGATTTGGTCTGCGGAAATGGGAACATGTTAACTTCAGCACAATTGAAAGATGGCCCCTACTAGTACTACTGCCACTCACAAAGTCTGCAATAACTGCAATAATAGACAATTAAGTGTACTGCAACCACTACTAGATTCCATCACCCTTTGAACTCCTTGGCTTTTGTTCACATATTTCATTTCACACAGATGATGAGGATCTGATGCAAACAGATGATCAAACAAATAAACGAAAAAATGTCACAGAAACATTTATGTTAGGTATGTATACTCAGGTTCTTTGGTCCATATGTAAAGATGCAAGGATGATATTTCCAGCATGTCTGAGATTATATGTGAAAAAAGTGGTACCAATTTGGTTGCAGCTTTACAGGTCAAGGAATGGGAAAGCAACAGCCAATCAGGTTTTGAGTGGTCCTGGTTGTTTTAACTTGTCTTCTGGGTTTGTGTAAATGCTGGGAATGTTTCATGTGTTGGAAAAGGTATAGGAACAGGAACGGTAACATGTAAATAGCAGATGATTGACACCTGGTTTTTTGTTTACCCAGGACATGTGGTTTGAGGTTGGTATGCTTCAACGCTGAAGTAGAATAATCTCAATTTCCTCTTTTGTACATAGGGAGTCCCCCTCCCTGTTAACAATGACCTTCCAAAAAAAAAAGTCACAATGAAAAAGCAACAGCCAATCAAAATCCCTTCATATCACAAGGAAGAATCCCTTCAATTATGGTTACCTTTCCTACTTTCCATTGCCAAGACTATTCTTGAAGCAAGAAAATTTGTTAACAGATCTATAAATTGCAGGTTTTTCCTCCCAACACAGCCAGAGTGTCCCAATTTTCATGATTTTTCCCTGATCCTATGTTGATTATGCTTAATAATCCTGTGATCACATTGTAGCAAACATGGTTTAGTGGTGATAGTGTGTTTCATTCTATGCATCCTTTTTAACCATGAGTTCTGCTCTAATAAACAATTGTCAGGATGATGTCGGCATGTTGCCTTTCTAAATTCTAACCCAATTGACATGCTTGGGCGTCTGGTATTGTGTGATATCAGTTGACATTGTTGTAGTACTTATCCACAGCCGAAAAAGAAGAAGAAAACAAGTGAGATTGCCCTTAAGGACTGAAACCAGGTCACCTGATTGGAAAGGGCCAAGTCAATAGAGACCATTAAGGCTTAGCCAATAGTTTCTGTAATGTCACAAAGATGAGTTGTGATTTGGAGCATGAAACTGTTCTACTTCACGCTGATTTTGAAAGAAATACAGATGTTGGGCTACTAACGGAATGAAAAGGTAGGTCCACATTTAATATGAAAGTCAAGTAGATGAAAAAGATGAGAAAAGATGGGCACAACTGATGGTGCATGTGGTATCTCGAGTCTGGTTTTTAAGATAAAGAGAAGTTGGTCTCAGTCTTATCTTAATAAAAAAGGGTATCTGACAAAAAAAAATTTCAGCCTAGTCTGCCATTGATGGAGACTTTGGTTTGGAGGACTTGGGACTTCAATATCTAGATCTCTTTTCATTTTATGAGCAATAAAGTATAGATTCTTGCACATGAGAATTGACTATTCTTGGCAGTTGACAAGTTCCAAACTAAATGCAGAAGGATGTATGGATAGAATTTTTACAAGGCAATTCAACAGGAAAAATGGGATGGGGGGGAGAATACTGTATGTCTTTGCATTTCTAGCTTGCTATGTCTTGTGCAAATACTCATCAAATTTGTTCTTGTCAAAATAAAAGTGCATAAAAATGGGCCCCATACCTCACATTAACACTGCAAACGTGTACATAGATGCTGATTTTCTCCATCTATAAATACAGGCCCTGTCTAAGAGCAGAGCTTCCAAGTAAACCTGATTACCTATCAGTTTCTCCAATAGTTCAAATTCTGCTTCATGGCTCCAGTACCTAGTTTTCCAGTTAAGGTTGGGCATATTGACGATGTCCAAGAACTGAGAAAGGCCAGACCAACCTCAATTCCTGAAAGATTCGTCAGAGACATGGCTGAGAGGCCAAAACTTGCTGCAACTCTAGTATCAGCTTGTGACATTCCCATTATTGATCTTTCTAAGCTCATGAAAAGAGACAAAGATGAACACCAAAGTGAAGTTATGCAACTCAAAACTGCCTGTGAGGAATGGGGATTTTTTCAGGTACAAAATGTTTAATTTTCGTGTGAGCTACTTTATTAGAAAAATGATTATTATGGAAGTTAATTGTTGATAGCATTTTCAGGTGGTGAATCATGGGATTGATCTGAGTGTCCTTGAAAACATCGAAAAAGTAGCCAAAGACTTCTTCATGTTACCTTTAGAGGAGAAACAAAAGTATCCAATGGCTCCAGGCACGGTTCAGGGATATGGTCAAGCTTTTGTGTTCTCAGAGAACCAGAAGTTGGATTGGTGCAACATGTTTGCTCTTGGTGTTGAGCCTCCTTGTATAAGGAACCTGAAACTCTGGCCATCAAAACCAGCTGACTTCAGGTAACATCGACACCAAATTTGGACCTGGAAGTATAGATAGTTTCAATTCATTTAATGTAACTTTTCGTTTTCCAGGGAAACTTTAGAGTTTTATTCAAGAGAAATCCGGAAACTTTGCAAGAATTTACTGAAGTATATAGCAGTGAGCCTCGGCTTAAAAGGGGATGTTTTCGAAGAAATGTTTGGGGTGGCTGTGCAAGCAGTAAGGATGAACTACTACCCTCCATGTTCAAGGCCTGACCTTGTTTTAGGTCTTAGCCCACATTCAGATGGAAGTGCCCTTACAGTGTTGCAGCAGGTAAAGGATAGCTCAGTAGGACTTCAAATTCTTAAGGACAACACATGGGTGCCAGTTCAGCCTATTCCAAATGCACTTGTGATCAATATTGGTGACACCATAGAAGTAAGAAACCTGGAACTTAAAAATTTGAGATTGCCCTTTTAAGATAACAGTGTTCAATCAGTGTTTTTCTGATGTCTTGTTAAACAGGTTCTTACAAATGGAAAATACAAGAGTGTGGAGCACAGAGCAGTAACTCACAAGGACAGAGACCGCCTGTCAATTGTCACTTTCTATGCTCCTAGCTACGAAATAGAACTTGGTCCAATGCCAGAATTGGTGGATGAGAAGAATCCATGCAGATACAGAAGATACAATCATGGAGAGTACAGTAAACATTACGTAACCAACAAGTTGCAAGGCAAGAGAACCCTGGATTTCGCAAAGATTGAATCCAAGACCTCCGCTTAAGAAGGACTCCACTTGGTCTCCCACCTAGGCTTACTTGTAACTAGGCTATAGTATATAACATTAGAAAAGGCATTGCTGGAGTGTTGGGTCTTTCTACTTGTGCTTGTAACAGTCATACAAGTTTGGTATTCTGTGTATCAGAAATGCGTTTGTATTCATTGATGGACTGCACTGTTCATGTGTAACTCAGATTGCTATATGCATATCAGCTAATGGAAGCTGTGGGGTCTTTTTTTATAAAGCTTTCTTGTCAAATTGAGTTTTGTCTGAACAACTTGTTAAATTAGCAGCTGTAAGCTGGAGAGAAAAACAATAACTAAACAGAAAGAAATGCCACTTTTACTGTTTTCTCCCTCAGATTCCTAATGAGGAAAGGAACATGCAATCATGTGGGGCAGCTCAAGACCACCACACCAAACCCATGTTTCAGAAGAAATCAAACAGAAAAAGTTTAACAAAATCATCGGTCTTCCTTTGTTCAAGGGAAAGAGAACTCTTTTCTTAGTGGCAAAGGGCGGAGAGCCCACAAAATCATTTTATGCATGTTTTTAAGTTCATTTTATAGGAGTGAGGGTAGCACCAAGCAACTTGTGATGGAATGTTTGATGATTCTGAGCTGAAATGACGCAAGTGCTAACACCAAGTAGAGCACAAAGCAGAGTTCCTGCATTCATGACATAAGATGTGAGGTAAAGGGAGACAATGCAGTATGCACAGTCGAAGTAAGTTGGCCAGGACCAACCACAGGTTTCATTATACGCCAAAATCATGTCTCAAATTCAACAAGCTCATGAATAAACTGTTAATTAGCAATGATTCAATCAGGTTAGTGGAATGTTCTTCTAAGAAAGAATATTCACCATAAGATCATATTCAAAACGATATAAAAAAAACCACAATGATATCCTGAGTTGAACTGTATGCTTAAAAATCAGAAGTAGCAAGGAAATGCTGATGCTGTCAAGAGAGACTGAAAAAACCATAAACCAATGACTATCTATTTCACGACAAGTTGGGTGGAATAGAAATCAAATAAGAATTGTTACCTCTTTTCCCATCAATCGCCAAGCCCATGGGAAAAAGCAAGCAGTGACCATTGTTTTCTTACAGATCACAAAGTCTAAGGGAGAAATAAGGAACTTCTTTGTTTCTTGTTTAAGATTCAAGGAAGCCAGAAATGTGACTGTTCGTGTATGTCTGCATATTGTTTTTCTAGTTAAGATCATGGCTCCAGAGATCAAAATAAGAACATTCAACAAGCAGACATTATCAACATGTAGTCGCATTGACAATTTTGCAAAGTTATTGACATCCAGTTAAAACAGGGAGAAATGCTGTTCTTGAATGTTGAAAGTTGCAAGTTTACAGTCTGCAAAAGTTATGAACTCTGAAAAAGACGCTACTCAATCGGCTAAAGTTATGTTAAGTTCCCAACCAGAGAGACTAACAAGTTATGAGCCAAATCCAACGACAGAAAAAGTTGAAAGGCAAAATCAGCAAGAAAATATTGACTACTGAGGCAAATTACAGTGTATCAGAAACATCACAAAACCAACATCTTCATATGGACCTAGGGAATAGGGGCTTGACAACAAAACTAGGCCCTGACTTTTAACAAGCCATAGACTAACGCTCAAGCAGGTTTGTGCCATTCCCCTAACGGCACTGCCTTTTTTGCAAACTAATGAAAGGAACCATCCTTTTCACAAGAATTCAATGAAGCGGGGATTTTGGGGAAAGTGATATCAGCAGTCGGGTCCCATAAATATTCAGGCTTGGACCACTTTTAACAAAAGTTTGCAGGTGTCAAAAAACATGACTAGAAACATAATTTGGTTTAGAAAAAGTAGCACACAACCGTCCACTGGTAAGAAAGAAAGTTCCAATCTAACAAGGAAAAAGAAGAAAGGGAAGGGGGTCCGGGTGGACGGTTCTTTTGGCATTCATGGTGGCACTTTCTGGTCTGTTTTCTTTCTGACTTGACACTGTCAAAAGAACCGTTGCTTTTGCTTCCATTTCACTTACTTTATTTTGCCACCAATTAGCAATTTGGCAAATGTTTGCTCACCCACGCTCGTTGAATCTCCTTGCAACTCCCCAAAACCCCTCGTGCTAATAATGGACAGTAACAACTTCCATTTTCCTACCTTCAGAAAACAAAACAAAAGAGCTTCAATGGACTAGTCCTTTATAAACATCCCTACTACCATCAACCTGAACTAAGATTCCCAATATGACAAAATGAAAATGAAATTCCTTGTTATAATAACGAGTTAGTAATTGTTAACTATTTCAAGTTAAAGACAGATAACAAGTGCATATAATCTTGGAAGTTGGCTGTTGATAAGAACACCACTAATGAACCCCAAATCATAGCCCATAATCTACAATCATGGGGAATTTGAGAAGGAAGATATTCCAAGATTCTAAGACTTGGGTTTTACTTCCATTCATTTCTTGAGGAATAGTTTTCCAAATTCCTTGAGGTTCTAAACTTCCTCCTACTGGTTCTTGCAGTAGTGCTTGGTGGTTGATGTGTATTGCACTGTCTAGTATAAGAGTCGTATGCTTATCCGCAAGGATGGACAATGCCGTGTGGATTTGTGAAAAGGAACTACATTTTTCATTTGTTTTTAGTAACAATTACAGAAACATCAGATCTTGTTGAGGGCTACTACCAATACCAATTCAACAAAAATATCAGTCCAAGTATAAGAGCCATTCCAAATCATCACAAGAAGTGAATCCAACTGTCAAAAAAGGCTGCAGAAATTGACTTAAAAGAGGATTTTTTGTCTAGTGTATGGCAGAATAAAGGCTAATCTTTTTCTTTTCTTGTTTGGTGTTTTTTGCCAAAATCAAGTAAAATTATCCCGATCTAAAAGAAAATAATAAACTTTACATTGATCGTGTATTTAAATAAAATTAAATATTTAAATATTTACATTATTTTCTATCTGTGAGATTTTTTTATGAAATAAGATAGTAAAATTTAATAAACCAAAACAGATAATATCTTGTAAATTAAGTATCGATGGATGTTCTCAGTCTCATCACACGTGCTTTGTTAACATGTTCACCGGGTACTACAAAGGATGAAATGACAACAGTACGGAGAAAAGCATAAAATGGTGGATGCATTCAGACAGACGATTCCTAACATTTCCGAAACTTACAATCATAATGGAGCTTGAGTATATCACTAAAATACACTTTTTTTTTTTTTTTTTTTGCTTCTTTTGGTGGAACAAGGGGCGCACAACAAACAAGCATCAACTAAGTCATGAAAAGGGCTTGCAGTAATAAGAAACCGGTCATTAGATGGTCCCCGCTGCACCAGACCATATTATGGGATCAATTACAATTTCTCCAGGTTGATTTCACAATTTATAGAATTTGGCCACACCTGGCTCCTACTGTACAAGTATCTCAGCTCCTGCTAGCAATCACCAAAAGCACTCATCAGGTGGCATCTCATCATGCTTATGCCACTTTCACCACGAACTGACCACACCTGGTCGTTTGCGCTATTTGCAGCAGCAATACTCCTTCATCTGGAAAATGACTAGGCCAGGCCACATCATGCCAAGTACCGGAATGTATTGGGGTTATCCTTGTCCCTCTCAAGATAGTCACGAGTAATCAGGTCCTCAATTCGCTTTTTGATTGCCTTGAAATCAGGCTGCACAGTTCAAATTTTAGTTAACACAACCATGTAAAGCAAGAAAGTAACAGCACATTGTGCACATGCCATACAAGACGAAAAGAATCATATAAGAACCTTGAACATGCGGCCCAACTGCTCAACACACTCCATAACCAACTGCTGGTGACCCAGAACTTTCCGACTCTTCATGATACGCACAATTGAGGCATCAATGGCGTACCGCCTATCCTTGTCAACATCTTCAATTACTTTCTTCTTCTCATCAACAGGGGGAAGAGGAATCTGAATTTTAAACAAATAAAAGCATCAGGAGATATAATTAATTAAAAGGAGAATAACACTGAACATTGGTAGTTTTTTTTTAAAAAAAGTACCTTGATCCTCCTCATTTTATCAGTAAACTTAGAGTTGAACTCAAAGTAATCAGTGGGAGAGATGGTTTTCGTACTTGGCTCCTTATTAAGAATTTTATACTTTGCACATGACAATGAATGCAGAAGTCTAACCACATCATCATCAGTTAAGTTCAATTGTGTCATGATCTCTGAATAGCTCAGCCTATCTGAGGAATTGAACAGCAGTAAGGCAGAGGCCTACAAATCAAGAAGACTCAATATTAGCAAAATAGATTCCTAAACTCCATTTCACTATTTAATAAAAAGGAAAAGGACTAGAAATAATCTTTGACCATATTACCTGATATGTTGTGACAATCAACTCCATTGTTTTTGGTTCAAACTTCCCAATAAGGTTACAAGTACCCAAAGAGTATATCCAAGTAAGTTTTCTATGTTTGGTTTTTGTCTGATAGAAGTCCCTGAAAACCTCAACACACTTAATCTAAAGAGGTTTTTGAGGAAGAGGAAGAAGAAGGAAGGAAGAAAATAAAGAAAATTGGCGTTAGTAACTTCCAGTAAACTTAAATGGCAATTCACAAAATGAAATATGACTCTTGTTTGCAAGATCTTTAAGCGTACCATCTCAGCAGGAAGATTAAGATCAAAAGACTTGTAACTTGGCCAGAAGCCAGTAGTCAAAACAGTTACTGTCAAGTCGATCCCTGGATTTGCATTTGGATTATTGCTCAAGTACTCCTCAAAACTTGTCTGGTTTTCCCTTGCCAACGTCAAATCTGTGACCTGAAAAACAGAGAAGCAGTTTAGAAAGGGATCTATTTGAGATATTACAAACATTTGGAGATGAGAATAAACAGCATTCAGTTCACAAATGATAACAAATCACATCTGACCATTCCCTCCATCTTTGAGGTGAACTGACCACCACACTGCTGTTTCAGCTTTGTCAAGATACTTCTCTCATGGTCATCATTAGCACTCTTGTCAAAAAGAAGCCTTCGAGCAAGCTTTTTCCTACCAATAATAATTCACAACAACAAAATCAGCTGAAATTCATGTGTGAAATGAGTTCCGTCTTCAAATAAAGCAAAACATCTACCTGTAAAATTCTGCAAACAAGTCCTTGTCACTAATATAAGCAAGAAGCTTCACAACCTGCAAATTTACAACAGTAAGGTTATGAAGTGTAAGTGTAACAAGTCTTATAAGGTAGATAGAACACTAAACAAGAGTGCAACAAACCTTTTCAAGAGTTTCTTCAATTGCTTCATCACTTAATTTTTCACTTCCACCTTTCTTAAGAATATTATCACAAAAAGTGGCAAGTAGCTCTGCACTTGAGCTTCCGGCAACACCCTTGTTGCAAAAGACTTCAAAAGCCTCCTTGAGAGCCTAGAGAAAATAGACAATAATGAGAAGATAAAACACAACAGCATGGGACTTATCTTGAGAAATCCATCTATTACAGACCTTGTGAAAGAGGGTATGATTTTGAAAACAATCATTCACATATGCTAGGTATTTGTCATGCAGCTCAATCACTTTCCTCACGAAAACCTGAAAACCAGAGACAAAAATCAACTTCCATGCCTTGAAACAGCCTAGTGCCATGTAGAACTACAAGGTGAAGATTTTACCTGCTCTTGCATGCCTACCACATCCTTTTTATCTGCCTATTGAAGAAAGAAAACATTTTAGCATGATTGGAAATAAACTTAAATGATATCAATATTAAAAGCTTATTCTTGTGCAAAAGAAGCTTTGAAAGGTTTGCATACTATAAGCTATAAAAAATAACGACAGGTACAATGCAAACCTTTTTGTTGCTTGCAGCATCCTCAGCCTGTTTGACCAAAGCTGTGCCTTCAGCAGTAACATGCTGAAGAAGAAAATGGGAACATTTTTTAAAGGGAGAAAGAAAAGAAATAATATGCAAAGTAAGAATAGATGAAATGAGATGATACATGAATATCCAAGTGAAAGTGATAGAACAAGGTTTTTTATGCTTGAGAAGCCATTTAACATCATACATAAATAAAGAATTAAGTAATAAATTCATCATATAGCGGACAAGCTATGCAATAGTTACCTGTTTGAAAATGCCTGACACAGGATCCAAGCCTCGAGGAATTTTACAAAAGAGTCTAAACATTCTTGACAAATCCTCCACCTAAAAGTTAGAAAGGAAGAAGGTGATCAGTTGTTAACTAGCTAATAAGTTAAGTAACCAGTAAATAACTTATCACCCAGTAAGCACAAGCACCTTGTCATCTCTAAGCAATGCATGGCATCCAGAGTGCTCTTTCTCAAGGAGTAGGTTTGCATTTACAGACAACAACTCATGTTGAACTTTCTATAAAAAAAAAAGAACATCGTTAAAAACAGCAGTAAGAAAAAAAAATTAGTATCACTTTTGAAGTGTAAGATCATCTCCAAGACCAAAAGGTGGATTCATATAACAAAAACAAGTACCAACCTCAAGTAGTTTTGGCTCACTACTAGAATGCAAATAATGTGAGACCCTATCTTTCTCTCGTTTTAAACACTCCTCAGCCTAAAATGGGAAAACAAAATGCTTTATTAGAGACTATTTGACTGGAAAAATAAGAAAAATATAGTTTGAAATGCAATCATATATAATGCATACTTTCAACATATAATCTGGACAAGAATCTTCTAGAATCCAATTTGAAGCCTTCCTTGAATAATAGGCAGCTGTATCTTTGAGCATAGTGGCCTCAAAATCATTCTCATAGTAATCCATTTGCCCCATTCCAATTTCAACAAATATATCTAAAACATTCTTCAATAAAGCTCGATCAATCTGCTCGCCCTCACGTTCTTGGTCAATCTGATTTAAGATTAGGGTTTCTATTAATATTACTTGGAATACAAAGGAAAGGTCAGAAAGAATGTGGAAAAGAAAACAGAACTTACTAGAGAAATTACTGCATCCCTCACTTTTGCATTTAGCTCTTGGTAGACCTGAAACCAGAGAAAGTGCATGCATAAGATTTCTACATTTTTCTTCATACAAGGAAATACCATGGAGTATCATGGCAATACGTTCAACCTGCACATACCAGTTCTCGGAAACATGTGAGTCCAACTTCATTAAGGGGAGGGAGTGACCTCCGAGCAATAAAGTAGCGATCAAGATAATGGAAGAAACGAGAAAGCCACCTAACCATTACTTTATGATTAGCCCACCTTTTCACCAGCTCTCTCAACATAAACTCATCGTGCTTTTCTCGTAAAGATGGAAGTACCTGTTGGAGCAATATTTTATGAACTGTATTAGCAAAGAATAAAAAAAGACAAGATATAGCACCTTCAACACAATATTCAAGCAAGGGACAACATTATATATAAAATGACAATCTATAATATCTTTCAACAACATGACTTGATTAATGGCTTTTCTTAAAATCTTATAGCTACAATTAATTAAGTACAATTCAGCTGCCCCCTAAGCAAGCATATTTGTTTTGTTAAAAAGGTAACCACTGAATTCAGGGTGGGGGTTCAGGTTAAGAAGGAGAATGGGTAAGGCACCTTCTACGCTATTAATAAATGCATAACAAGTGATCATCCCTTCTAAATAAATGGGACAGAGAAAAAGGGAAATGCAAGGCATTTGATTTATCTCATACACAAATCTTTAAACTAGCTTATTTTAACAAATAAATCCAGCAAAGCAGTCAATGACAGTAAAAGAAACAATAAATATCACCACAAGGTACATATTTTTAAGTCCATACATAATATCAACAACTTGAGTAAATTAATGACAACAAACATTGAAGCAACATTATAATTCCTCACCGTTGAAGTGATGTATTCTTCAAAAGATTCTCGATACTTATCATACAACTGTTGAGAATAATCGTGAGGAGGCTTTTGGGTGCACATATTGTAAATAGTTCTACAAAATAAAGATTAAGGACACCAACAAAAACACTCACAACATACGAAAATCATAATGTTCGCAATCATTCCCAAAAAAAAAAACCAATAAAAAATGACATCGAATAGGATACGTATAGAGCATCATATAATCCTCAGAGCTAAACTGTGGCTCCGGTAAGCCTTCTAGAATGTTCTTCAACTTTGTAATCCCTTTTTGCATAAATTCCCATCCTTGTTCAAGGTCGATCGTCTTCCTCTCGTTCATCGTCATTGTGCCAGGTTGTCTCCCTAATTATCAAAACCCTAGCCGCCAGAATCTGCAAATTTAAAGATTCAAATCAGAATAATTAGCTCACATTTCAGCTTCAAATCATCAACATTCCATACTCTCTAGCCCAATTAACCAAAAAAACCACAAATTACAACAAAATCCACCCCAAAAAAAAACTTAAAAATGGTAACTTTAAGCAACAATGCCGTGACTTGAAACAATTCAGCGATTTTCTCAGCACCCAAACAGGAAACTTAACATTTCTTTATAAAAAAAAAAGTCCTTTTAAAATCAAAGTCAATCGATTCAATCCAAACCCAATAAAACGAGAATTTCATCAAATTGGAACAAAACAAAAAGCAATCCATGAGAAATCGAGAGACAATCAGAACAGAAGGAGATCGATAGATACCCTAAAAAGCACAAAAAATTACCAAAAAAATAAATAAATAATAGTACTTAATTAAAAAATATCTGATATCGGAGAAAGCGAAGAAAAAACCCTAGAGAGGACGGAGGCTGAAAGCCGAGTTCCGACAGAGCATTGAAGTAGGAAAGGGCGAGTCTTGTTAAAAGATCCTTTCGGGTTTCGGATCCTTTTTCTCTCTGATTATTATTATTATTATTTATGATTTTTATATTTTTATTTTCACAGTTTTAATTTATTTTCTTTTTTAAATTATTTTTTGTTTTTTTATGCAGCTTTTTTTTTGTTTGGGACATATATGCCTGCATGCTCGTACTTTATTTCTTTTGTAAGAAGGTCCTGCTACTTTCTCATATTAATGCAAAAGGCTCTGGCATTTTGTTTTCTTTAAGCAATCTAGGGATTAAATTGCAATTATTTATAAAATTAAAAACTTAGTCATAAATGTCCAAAGTAACTCCCATTGAGAAGATATTTTTTCAAAGAAAACGGAAGGGATTATGTGAACCTTCCATGTTATACATGGAGAGACAACATTGGAAGTATTAATTCTCATTTAGGAAATAAAGATTTTGCCCATTTTAATCTATTCCGAGATAAAAAAAAATTCATTTAATAATCGATACATTATCCGATTATTCATCAATTGTATTAAAAATAATTTTGATATTAAATATTCCAAAAACTATTTAGTAATTGGTTAAACTCGTGGGGCTTCATGAATAATTCCGGTTCATGATACATTTTAGAATGTTTGTTTTCTTTTATATGTAATTTTTGTTGGTGGAAGGTTTAACAGGTGAGACATGAGAGGAGCCATGGATGGAAAAGTTGTAAAGAAAAGCAAATAATGAGAGCCAACTAGTGTGGAATGTGGCAAATGATTGGACCTAAAGTGAACTTTTGTGGCCAACTGACAACAGTAAGTACTTGATGGCATGAGAAAGTTGAACCATTGACTGTCAACAGAAATGGACTTGCTCCATTGATAATCAGTGGAGAAAACAGACACAAAATTTCATAGCTTTTGATTTAGGGGTCCTAAAAGGATTTAACTGTTAAAAAATGCCTTAGAATTTTGCTTACTATATATATATATTCATGGATGATACCTTTCTTGGAATGGAGAATGTCCTACCACAAGGGGTTAGGATCTAATCTTGGATTCTGCCATAGTAGGCTGATCATGGTTAGTATAAAGTAAACATCCTGGCTCAGTTATTTCACAATGAGAATAACCAACCCTGCAATCTCCATCAGCTTAACTTTTTCTCTCAACCACCCTTTATTCTGAACAATCCTGTAATTTTACAACTCAAATATAGCACTGCTTATACTACAAATTGTTGGAGTCAGATCTTCTAAAACCCCATAATGGATTAGCCAATCTATCATATATATTGTGTATCTGATTTGTTCTTGCAAAATGTATCATGTTTCACTTGCTTGTGTAGAGTTCAAACTTTAATCATCCTCCATGGCAAGGCAGTTTGAATCACATTGATGTTTCTGTCAACGGAGATGCATCCAGCTGTTCCTTCTCTTGCAATTCAGTTGCATGTACAGATAGCAATTCATGTTCAACAATCTATAGTCAATTGAAAAAGAAGAGAAAGAAAAGGTTAGTGACAATAAAAGGAACTAAGAATGTGAACAAAGAAACTAGAGAATGTGGTGACAAACCTCAAGTAACTTCCTGTGGCTTCTATCCTGCAGATAGCAAGAAATTGTCTCTCTTTCATGTTTCAAGCAGCTTGCAACCTAATTATCATCATCCAAAGCATAAAATGGGATCAATCTCCTTGTATATTTATCTATTGCAGGTGGAAGTTTTATTGATACCTTAAGCATGTAATTCTTGTAAGATTCATTTTTTATCCACTTAGAGGCCTTGGTGGAATAAAATGCAGCAGCATCTTCAAACATGGCTTCTTCAAAGTCTTTTTCATAGTGTTTCAATGAGCCTTGTCCAACATCGACATAGACAGCCAGAACATTCTTCACTAGTGCCTGATCAATAACTTCTCCTTCGCGCTCCCGATCAATCTTCAGATTGAAAGAAAACCATGAATGAAGGATTAGCGGAGAAGGTGTGTTTAACCAGAAGAAATCCAAGAACCTGTCCTTACCATAGACAGTACAGCATCTCTGACTTGATTATTCATTTCTCCAAATATCTTGGACAAGAAAAAGGAACACAGAACTTTGTTAATTAGTATTAGCATTTCAAGAGAGAAAAACTATGATTTGGACTTGAGAAATGTAAGAATTTAGGACTAACCAAATTATAGAATGAAGAAAGGCCAACTTCTTGGAGTGAAGGAACGTTCTTCACAGCAACAAAGTATCTATCTATGTAATGAAAGAATCTGCTAAGCCACCAGGTCATCATTTTGTGATTTAACCATCTTGTTTCTAATTCATTTAGCAAAGCTTCACCTTTCTTTCCTTGCAAAGAGGGCATCACCTGGAAACAAAAAACCCAACCCAAAAAATATGTTGTAGGGGGTTTCTACTTTTCTTCATTTTCAGAAGATTCATAAGTGGTAAAACGAATTTCATGGAAGTTCATTTACCCTGCTAGTTATGTACTCTTCAAAAATGTTCTTATACTTCTCATATAATACCTGGCAATTGGCACCGGCAGGGTTTGGATGACACATGTTATACACAGTTCTAGTAATGAGTTAAGCAACTGATGACAGATGATAAATAACAGATGACAAAGACAGAAACCTCAAGAAGTATACTTGAGTCAATTTGATTAGAGAAAACAGAACCCTCAAAACAAGGATACGTGTAGTAACGCATGTAATCTTCAGATGAGAAACTTTGACTGTTATCCCCTTCTATGCGCTTAATCAGTTTGTCTACTCCCTCTTGAATCACCGGCCATCCTTCTTCAACCTTGATGGAGTGTTGATTTGCTTCAGGTCTCGCCATGACTTAAGGTTAAGGTAGCAGGAAAAGAAAGCTGAGATGGTAAAGTTTGTATGAACAGCTTCATAAGAAAGATGTTTACTAACAGATAATGACAAGCATTGACCCAGAGTTCATTTTTCTTGCCAAGACTTGGACATTGATATTCGAAGTTTCTTTGGTTATTCCCCATTTGAAAGTTCCATGCACGGCTCTTGACAATTCGATAACATGGACTTACAACAAAGAAAGAAATATGTTCATGATTTATGCCCAACCAGTTCTTGACTTGGTCAATATTTTTGTTCATCAACTTGTTGGAAATTTTGGGCACTGAGTTCCAACTTTTGTTCCTTTATTCTAAAACTTAATTTTTTTCTGCCACAGATGATGACAAACAACTAAACTACAGATAAGTTCTACAAAAAGAGTGGAAAAAGTAACGCAGAAAAAGGCTTGAGGTTACTTCTGAGCAGCCCGACTCAGTTGAGCTCAGCCCAATCATCGTATTCTGGGCCAGCTAAGCCCCAACATATCATAGTTCTGTGATATTTTTTGACCAACTGCTCATGGATTAGAAGTTTGTATCACAATTAAGGGTCTCAGTGTCCTGTCACACATGCTGCTATGTCTAAAATCTACAGTTAGCTCGAATTCTAGTCTGCAAGTTAAAAGAAAAACTGTTAAATTCCCAGCTAGCAATGCCAAAATTCAGCCTTAAATGGGCTTTGAGGACAATTTTAAAGTTCCTGTTCTTCATGGCTGTGCTTGGCTTGCATTTGGGCAATTCCATGGTCACCGGAGATGGCACGTTTGCCTCCGTGCCCATCAGGTTAAAATACTATTAGAGACAAGTTTGCTTCTTTTCTTTGACGTATATTGATTCATCAAGCCTCTCCATTCATGCAGATCCCCAAAATTATGCTCTTGCACATAGACATGGTTTCTCACTCTCTGTATCTTTGCGGTGTAACTCAGCATGATTTTTTTTTTAATGCCCTGGGACATTTTCTGCCATATTCGTCATGATGTTGTCACTTTCACTATAAATTGTATCAGTATTGGGGTGCAGAGTATCCTCGGTTGTACCGAATTAAATATGTCACAGCGTTAGCAATGTCAGTTTCCAGAGCCTTGAATGCTGGTTTGGGAAAACGTTGTCCACGTCTATTTTATTTCAAATGTGTAAAAAGGACATGAACCTGAGTTTCCCTCATTATTCAGTCACTGTTGCTTAACCTATCTGCTGGTTCTTTGCATAAATTTGCATCTTTATTATCAACCTCTTCCCTGCTGCTTATGCTGTTGCTCTTTGTTCACCTTAACGTAATTGGTCCAGGCTATAGATGTGTATCTGGCCAATGAATGTTGTGGCAGTGATTAAACTGCTGCCCTTTTTTTACCAGGAGGGCATGCTGCGGGCTTCTTCATTATAGGTCAACAATCCTGACAGTAGATTTGATATATTTGGTACGTAAAGGATGCAGGCTTCAGGTCCAAAAACTGAATGAATAGATCTGGCTAAGTGAATTGGCACAAACCACTGACACAGTTGATAGAAAGCATCCATTTTAGCTTTAAATTTTCTGACCTTTTATACTGATGCAGGAAAAGCTTATGGGTAATTCTGATATTTGTTGGATGACATGCTTACACATGTAACCTGCTGGATCTTTTGTTATAACCTAATGGGAATACCAATCATGATTTTAGAAGGGTGCATTATTCAAGAGTTTCTTTGTATACATAAAAGTAAAAATAGAAGATGAAAATGTTGTTCATGTAATACAATCAAATCTTATATTGAGAATTTATAAAAATTCGTTAAGATACATATAAATTTGAATTTATACTTGTAAGACGCTTTTCGTGAATAAAACCCTAAGACTCTTAGGGTCAAATTAGAGAATGCATCTCAAATTAGGTCCATATCTCTACAGTTCAATAAGTTTGTTCGCTGATAAAAAAAAATTAAAAGAATGTAATAATGCTAGAAACTTTAAAGCAATATAAAAAGCAGATTTCACTTGCTAACAATATCTTGGCCAGGCTCTAACTTCAGAATATTGTTGGTGAAAACCTATGTAAATTCTATGAGACTTGAGCTTTGGATCCTTAGTCAACACCAATGAACTAGACATTGACATCTTTACTTCTTGCTTTTCATCTTTTATCTTAGGGGGATCACCTAGATCCTTGAAGGCCCTAGTGTAAGGCAGAAATGATACTTTTCCCTAAGGAGACATTGAGCTAGAAATCATATGTAAGCAGTAACTAATCTTCAACAGGTTCTTAATAATCACTGTAAGTTATGAAGAGAAAATCCCATTTTTGTGGATAATAATTTGTAGGAATCCCTGATGACATTTGCATTTACAATTAATTAAAATCTAATTAATTTATTTCTTAGGTTCATGATGATGAACAAAACTAGTCTTCAGTCAATGTTGAACTGTCATCTATCAATCAAAGAAAATGGATTCACTCAAGATTTGTTGTAGTGAACAAAACTTTTTCCTGGGGCTTTTGTACAAGAAGAGAAGAAGAAATGTACATCCCTGCAGACAATTTTCAGGGACTGAATCACTGACCTGATGAACCACACATAAGGAGGAGCTACATATATAAGGGAGAAAGTAGTAAGGATAGTAAGTACTGATAAGTTAAAGTTAAATCAATAAATGGGCTTAATTCCAAAGTATCAAATAATTTGATGCATGATTCTCCTATCACATTTTTGTAGCCACATATCAATTAGATCTAAAAATTTTTAAGCTTTACACCCTTCTAGCTAAATAAAGACATACGAGGAAGAACTGAAATCTTTTCATTAGCTAGAAGTGATTAAACCAAGAAACATATCTTGTTTCATTAAGTTTGCATAGGATTTTTTATGTTTCCTTCAAATAAATTGAAAGAAAAAAGGAAACAATTTATTAGATTAATCTTTTGCAGAAAAGCCAGCCTTTGTAATTGGTCTCAAATAAAAGTTCTGGTTCAGCCACTGGACCATCCTATACATGTACACATTTGTAGTGCTGGAACTTTGGTGAAGGATTCCTGTTTCCATGTGCACCTTCTTTACTTTTCAACAAGTACATGTTTGGAATCTGGAATAGAAAATTAAGCTACAGCTAGAACACAGGCTGAGATGGCAATGGCATGCATATATATATATATATAGGAATTCAGGTTCCATTGGCTCCCAGGTCTCTTGTATTAAATTTACACTGAGACTGAGCAAGAAATGTTTACTCCTTAGGTGTGTGTGAATTATATATATATATACATACATACATATACATATATATATATATATATATGCATCATTTTTGTTTGATTCAATCAAACCAGCATCCAAGGGCCAAATTCTCTACATCTATTTTTCAATATTATGCCAAATAAATTAAAGTTTCAAGGAAAATGTAGATGCATTAAGTTCATTCAAGCTAATGGGCATAAGTCCAAGTTTCCTGTTAGCAGTATTAGTTGGTATATTTGAAGTGGTGAAAAATGAGGGAATGTTGGTGGCTCCTGCTTTGAAATGAAGGGGATGCTGTTTATTTATCCAGGTTAGAATTAGGAGCTAGCTTCAGAAAAATCTAACATGGTTGCATGTAAGGGCGGATCCAAGAATTTTCCTGAGTGATGTCATAATTAAAATAATAAATATGTTAAAATTTATAAAATAGAAGTTTCAACATTAAATTAAAAAAATATAAATTCAATACATTCATTTAATATTTCAAACTAAAAATATCGAAAAAAAAATATAATTGTCCATGACAATTTTTCATATTTTGAAAATGTTATAAGATAGTATAAGGAGAAACATTATCAAATACATTTTTTTGAATATATGTCACCGTACAATCATTCATATACTCGACACTCGTTCGATTGTGTAGCATATGCTTTATAATTTTGAATTCAAACTATCAAATAAATCAAAAAATATTTAAAAACTTAATTTAGATTAAAAATTACTTACAATTGAGTAAAAAACACAATCAAGAACCGAGAGGAGGAGAGTCATAAGTCTCAAGAGTAAGACTTAAATTTTTGAATAGAGAGAGTTGCTTAAGTTTTGAGTGTTTTAATAAAATCTTAAATTATAAATAGAAATTTTTTTATCTTTCCATGTAGAATTTAAATATTAATATATAAGTTATTTTTTAATAAATTTACTTTTTGATAATATTTAAATATTATTTTTTTAAAAAATTAAATATGATTAATACATAAATTTTTTAATAAAATCTATGTTTTGATCCCATTTCCTAAAAAATTACAAAAAAAATAGTGAGTTCATAATATATTATTAAATATATAAAATTCTAAAATGATAATATAATAAATAAGTATTTTTTTTAATTGAGCACTCTCATGAACATGGGTCCGCCCATGGCTGCATGGGAAATCAACACCCTGATGACATTTCTAAGTTAGAGATCCCAACAAGGCTTGATCTTGTGATATATATGTAACTCATTTACTAATTAAGCAGCAAGCAGTGTAATTGTTACTTGCAGAAAGTAGCTATGTTACAGTAGTGATTAACATGACTTGCTTTTTGGTGGATGCATAATACTGAATTTATGATCACTGTGTTTGCACATAGTGGCACTCAGGAGCTACTAACAAACAAGCATCATCAGTGGAATGCTAGCTAAACAAACCTCTAATCAAGCAAAATGTTCAAAGAAGTGCTTTAAATATTAATGGAGGTAAGTGAAGAAGATTCCATTATTTTTATACATAGATTAACTGATAGTGCATGCCTTTATCTTCCATCTCTACAACATTATCTTTTTTTTTTTTTGAAAGATAGATATTTCTCTATTAATGGGTAGAATTGACGCAGAAGAAGAAGGGTGTTATATACTCACCCAGGACCTTCCCTATCCCTTGCATGCAAGGCCTACCCAGACTCACATATACAGATTCAATGCTTATCAAAGCCAGTAGCTAAGACCACCCAGACATTAAACATCATACTGCAACTCTCAAAAAGAAAAGGACATGCAATGACTCAAGGTACCACAGTTCTAGTATTTCACTACTTTACCACTTAAAGGTAAAGGTATCCAACATTACGTATGCAGCACTTAAAATTCAACTTGATGTCTTAGCAGGTAATAATTTGAATTCAATCACTTTATGAATAAATCATTAATTTAACCATAAAAAATTATACTTAACAGAGGAACAAAAACAAATTATCTCATAAATCTCCACTGAACTAATGATCTATATGCATGCTTCTTTTCTTTTTCTTTTCCTGAATTGGATTGAAAAAGAATATATCAGTAGGAAGATCTTAGGAAGAATATGTTGATATATGGGAAGCAGAATTTCAAGTTATACTAAGTTTGTGATGCTAAAACAAAAAGGTATAACAGAACTAAGCTTGCACACCTTCCATAATGTTGCAATCAATGGCTCTTTACTGACGAACTTCCAACTATATTATAATACCATTGTTTGACGCTGCAAAATCCAATCACACCGGCCAATCCCATCTATAATATACTATACGTGCACAGTGAAAACTGTCTGGCATGGCATATAACCTTGCCTTGGGAGGCAGGCGGCTGTGAAAGCACATGAAGACGCCTTGCTTGGTGTCAAGGTGACAGTTATCACATGGAGAATTCCTGCCTTCTTGGGTTGTTTTTATCTAAGAATGGTCCATTGCCAAAAAAAAAAAAAAAAACAAAGGGACGGCATGCACTTTGCCAACCGGCTGCAGCAGTGTGATGGCAAGGAGGCATGGCCATAGTAAAAAGTATTACAGTTTGGGGAGTTGATTTGGATATACGGGGATTCCTGAATATTCAATCAAATATTCTCCTCTCAGAGAGTGAGTGCTTTTATAACATTGTGCGGCAATGAGTGATTGGTGGATATTTTCCAGGTTACCTTTCTTTTTGCTTCCATCCTAGCTAGCTATCTAATTTTTATACTGAAGCATATATCTTTTTATGGGGAGGCTGAAATTCTAGAGAAACCTTAACAAAAAAGGAAAAAAAAAAAAACTGAAGCAGACCAATATGATCCAATGGTAGCCCATATTTTGTATGAGATGAAAACAACAGAAACCCTAATCTCTTAAAACCTTAAACGAGGCAAACACTCGAAAAGGGTCAATGACAATAACTAAAGAGAACCCAGAACAAGGACCCGATTTATTAAATGAGATAAATGTCACTGTGTCATCAGGATTTGTTTTCGTTTCAATAGTATTCTGCAGATGCTAGAGTGATGGCTGCTAAATGGTGGCCCCTAGCTCCCAACATTTTCAAGGAACCTTAAACCCGGATTGCTACTTTAAGTCAACATCTACGAAATTTTGATATTCGCGAACAAAGATGTGACTTACCGTAGAAAGATAGTAAAAAAGAAGATGAAGCCGTAGGGTCATTTAGGTATATCTGGTACTGGTGATAGTGGGTACTTTAGCTGGAGACCATCCCCAGATAAGAGAAAGAGATTGACTAAATTAATGGGGAAGAACCAGCTCTCAAATGGGAAAGATGGACCCAGAATAGAAAATCATCTACAATATCATTAATTTTTTCTGGAAACTACTCGTACTCTTACCGGCAGCTAAATGAAGAAAGAGTATTATACTGGTGACATTAGAAGGGCAAAGAAAGGAAATTGCAGGACTATCTTCTGAAATTCTTGGATTAGAACAGTATAGTGGTTAACTAACCTGATAGCTTCCTTCTTTGTTGCAAACGGAGCTGAAACAATGAAAAACCTTGTCATCACTGTTGTCTCGGATCAGATTCAACCATATTTCAAGTACAAGATACCAATATTTCCCAATATATACAAGTTAGAAAAATTACTATAAACTAATTCTTAAAGCTAAGACTGATGTGTAGCAGTATGATGGCGTTCAAATCAAACCCAGAAAAGAATAAAAAACAGTTGCAGAAGTTGTGTGAAAACCATGATGCACAAATTCCATACATGAAATAAAAGCTATCCCACTAAGAGGTCAATAGATTGCCACATCGAATCAAGTAACTAGAACCCAATCTTGTTGATTAGTGTTATCATGGTTAAAGCTACAAACAGCTATATGTTGACTAATATGTAACCATAAACCTCAATTAAATGGCCCCAGATTGGAGTTGTTACTGCTGCCAATCATGCTGAACTTCAATGGAGTTGGAGCAACAGCCTGGTTTATTGTTTGGTTTCTTCCATATGAAGACGGTTCCTCCCTGCCTTGATCAGTGTTGCTGTTACCGACCTTGTCTTGATTTGCTGCTTTATCTCCTTCTAGCTCTCTATACTTGTGCAAGTATCTTCTTAGTGGTACGGCGTAGTCATCAAAACCTAGAGTAGCCAAAGCCCAGCATATATCATCTCCATTCACAGTCTTGCGCCTTTCCTTTCTGCACTTCTCGGATGCTTCACTAGTGACAAAGCTAATGAACTCAGAAACGCATTCTTGCATAGTTTCCTTGGCTTCCTTTGAGATTTTTGCATTAGGAGGCAGAATTTGCTTCATTATCCGGCCGACGTTGGCTATTGGAAGTAAGCGCTCTTGCTCTTTGATGCCGCCATCATCATTTGAAGCACTAGCTCCAGCATTTTCGGCCATTCTTGGGTACCAAGAACTTGATCCTGTTGAACCAAGACTAGTTGCTCAGGTCAAAAGGTTAGTTGTATAATTTATGCTGTAAGTTAATAAACACCCATGTAAACACACACATATACATATATATATATATATATACATACATAAATACATAAATCATATAAGTAGACTTATGTCTTTTTCTATATTGATGTGATATGTGATGACGCCGACCTGGTCGGCATCAATGGTGGGACCATGTTCACAAACCCAATCTAATTGAAAATCCTTGATTACAATGGTGATTTTGCAACAAATATTGTGTAAATTGACTAAGTCCACCAGTGTTGACAGCCAGGCATAGTCATATACTTTCCAAGTAAGCTGCTAGGCTTCATCGGCATGCAACAATAATATTGGATGCTGAGAGGGCTAATGAGGAATTTTTTAATAAACAACAAAGCTCCAATCATGTTTTAGTACAAACAGCTTTCTGAAATTTAAGCTTTAATATTAAACCAACTGGCTGAGAGTAAGCATGGATAGGAATTAGTTAGCATAATAATATAAATTTAAAGGTGGAGAATATGCTAATGCATAAGGTTTCAGAGTGGATTCAACCGATGCTTCATTAGAAAAAGAAAATTACCGTATTATAGTGTTAATCGCGTAGGTTTTACTCAAGATTACATCATCCTATACGACAGCATATATAACTAGTATTTCTTTCTTATTTAATTTTGGGGGGTTGTCCCAAGTCGAAATTGATATAAAGGGAGAAGGGGAGTGGGGGAACAAAGACAAGAGAGGAAACTATATGAAGTAAAGGAGCTTACTCACCATGATCTTGTTATGGTCCAAAATAAAGAACAATATATGAGATGGAAATGGTGATCCATTCATGGAGGCTCAACCACTTGCACTGAACTGTAACCCGTTAGCAAAGTTTAATTCTGCGGAGTTACCAAGGTAAAGTTTAATTGTGCTGACAAGCTAGTCTGCTAGCTTATTACCAAGTTCTTAGAATTTTCTTTCTGGTAATAACAAGGAAAAAGCCTTATCTCCCTATGCTTGATGCTCTCATTTGGCTTATGATTGTAGCTTGGAGCCTTATAAAACACCTTCCCAATCACACCATCATCAAATGCTCACAACTTAATTTATTGCCTTTGCTATTTGATAAATAATCCATGAGTCATTTTGGTGTATAAAAAGTTCATCATCCTTTCCAGATTGACAATAGGAAATTATACTTGCTTGTTATCATGTTCATTGGTTGTTCCGTCCCTTTGCTTTTCCAATAACAAAAGTTTGGATAAGTTCATCACATTTTCATTTTATTATATATGGTCACAAGTATTCTAGTTCTTGAGCACAATTGTCTTCTGTCCTCCAAAAACCCAGTGTAACTTTTATTTATTTAAAGGGGAAAACCATCTTCAAGAAGTGGTAATGCCTTGCTCGTTTGACCATGTTTCAAACCATCCTTATGACTATAACTGCAAACAAAAGATATAAAGTAAAAGAGTTTCTCCTTTGTACATTTCCGTACAGTTCTAATTATAACAAGGTGTTGGCAGAAATATAAAAGTGTGTCCATCAATTGTCTAAGGTACACATATTACTATTTAAAAGTTTGATAGGGCATGAATCATGATTGAGGAATGAGCTGCTAGTTTAGTGACACCAACAGAAGCTTTCCAGACAGGTCAACAATTAGGTTTTTCACATTGTTTTGAGAAAGAGTGTAGAGGGCAATCACAAGTGATGAACTGATAAGTGATGGATCATTTTTCTTTCTAGATTTTAGTTGATGGGGACAGATCCGATTGTTGCAAGTAGATAAAGATGTGGAGTAAACGATGCAAATAGTTAAACTATGATACCTCAGGGCTGTCCCCCCCAACCCCACTTCCCTTCACTAGTTTTGTACCATATATAGCTTTGAGTTCTTTTATTTAATAGTTATGGAAGGAAACAGAAGAAAAGACAATATCAATTTCTTTATAAACTTGCTAGCATAAAGCCATAATTTAAGAGCAAAACAAAGTGGACTAATCGCATATGATGATAAAACAAAAGGAAAATATCCACTTTCTTCATTGACTGTTTTGGATTTTCATGTATGGTCCCCTAGCAGGATTCCCTAAAACCAGCTGGTTCATCAAAAGAAATGTATATGCTATTGGTGGGTCTACACCGTTTTGCATCTTGAAGTCATTTTTGAGTCAAGTGATTTCTTGATAACCTAAGACCGAAGAAAACTGAGTGGAAGCAGCAACTATCAAAAGCAAACAAGGAAATAAGCTTTAGTAAAATGCTGGTGGAAGTTTGATTTGTGCTTTGAAAATCTTAAAAATATCCTATATATCATGTCCTGATCTGCTCCTCTTTCTTAATAAAGCACAGCTAATTTTGCAAAGATTCCCTTCTCCCCCTCTTTCTTTAATACAACTTGATTTGGATTTAAGGTTGTCCCTCAAGGATTTGGAGCCAATCTTGAAATTTTCACCGGAATAAAGTAGTGAGTCAACAAAGTAAATAAACTGCCTTGTACTATCTCCTTTGCTGTTATGCCATTTGTCATAAGCCAAGTGGATGTTGCAGGTTTTGGATTCTAGCATTCTACATATCCCCCTGCTAAACCAAATACTAAAATCGTCAACTCCTTTGGAATGGTTTATAGTCTGCTAATTAACTACCCAACAACTACTGTCAAATAAAAGAACTGTCACGAACTTTTCTAATGGAAAAAGAAAATTTAATTTAAACAATATATTGCTTTTCAATTGCAGTTGTTGGTGTCAATGACCAGATTCTATGTATCTGAACTAGTGATGATGGGATCGTTTTTATGCACTGAACCAATGGGGATCATCCTTTCATTAGGGTGGGAGTTGAGACAGCATACCAGACACCAAACTAGCATTTATTTAGCTTTCATTCCTTTCAATATGCAACTTTAATATGTCCAACTTTCTGTTTTCCTGCTTTAATTAACTTAACCAAGTTAGAAGCCTAGCTACATCGATCGACATATCTGTCTTATATTTTTCTGCGAGGAAAAGGTAGTAGGCCTTAATTCTTTATTGTTTCTGGCACTCACTTAGAACTTAATATGATCTGGTTCTAAGCTTATGATGTTTTCTTTACCTATTCTGTACTACTCAGAGTATGATAGTGTAGTTTATATAATTGACTTCATAGTGTAGGCAAAAGTATAATAGTTTGTGTTTGCACTAGTAATTCTTTTAACCTCCCTTGCTCTTCACTATATTCATGAAAACAACCCTTTTTTGTCCTTTAAAGTTTCAAGACTTCAAAGCACTGAAACTCTGCTTTGTTATTAAACGTAGATACTGAAACCTTATTCCCCCCCCCCCCCCCCCTTTTTTTTTTTTAATTTCAAGATCCAGCTCTGCGATGCTTTAAAGTAATTTTTCTGCCAACAGCTTTTCATAGTCGCAGATCTTTTGTGCAAACGTGCAAATTTAAGTTAGATTAATCAGTAAGGTGGCAAATTTACCACATTGGTTGGGGAGGACTTTGGTGTCATATGACTCATATGTCAAAGATATGAAGCATTAACCTCTTCATTTTCTCTGTTTCAAGGCCCAACCACACATTGATCCCTCCACTACTATCTCCACATTTTGCATCAGAAAGCAGCAGAACAAATTCATCATTCCCACTAACAACTGGCCCTCCATGAGCTGGCTTCCCAAATCCGAAATCAAGCTCATTGAATCCAAGTTTCCACCAAGCAGACACATAGAAAGTCCCATTGCAAGTGGCTGGAACCCCTCTATGAACCTCCAGCCAGTCTATCACTGACCTCGCATACTCATCTGTTATCCTTTCTCTAGCTTCCTTTATCTTCTCAACACAGAGGGAGAATGGCTTCTCTACCAAATCAACCACTTTTGCATCAGCAAATGCTGTGACCACAGCATTGCCTGCAAAGCCATTTGGCAAAGGGGGTGAAATTTTAGACCTTATGTCCACTGCAAAAAGAACTGTAGACAAATCATCTAAGTTTGTGAATATCGCTTTTGATCTTGCTCTCCAAATGTGAGCTACTATAGCTTCGAAGCTTGAGCACCTAGTCATTGCTTTCTTTTTTAGGGTGGTGATCATTTCAGGAGTGAAAGAGTAGAGTTTGTGAGTGTATATTTTTGAGAAAATCAATGGAGGCGGCGATTGTTCTGGTGCAGTAAAACATGAAGTACGTGATGATTTCTTATTTAGTTTTACATACTCCTTGTGCGGGTAACTAATCAGTACTGGATTTCTTGCTTTTAAGCTTGTTCTATCATTGTAGATAACTTTGGTTTGTAGCCCTTCACCTCTGCAAATAGAGGCAAGGTTCTCAAACATCTCACTGGCCGATTTTCCATCTAGGATAGCATGGTTTGTCATAAAACCAATGGAGAAACCTCCACATGCAAACCTTGTGACCTGCAAAATAACCGGGAAAAAGAGTAGTTTTGAAAGAAAATTGCGCAAACTTTCATGGATAGTAAATAGTTACTAAGCAATAACATGGTTATACCTGTATGGTGAGCAGTGCTGTTTCATCTAGGTTTAGGTATAAGCCTGGCCGATGAACAAACTGATGAAATGTAGAATTTGGAAGGGAAAGATTCCCAAGATCTTTCAACCTACGCCTTGATGTTGCGCTCACAAACAAAACTCCAGCATTGTTGCAAAGAAGCTGCAGCCTGTTGGTTTGCTGGTTAAAGCTGAGCCTTCCAGCCATGAAATAGTAAGGACCAAGAAGCACCTCAGCCACCGCTTGCTTCACTCGAAGAGAGATACCCAATGTTGAGGAGCTCTTGTCTGGAGGGACATCAAAAAAGAAGACTGTTTCAACAGGGAAACAGACTGCTTGGTCAACGTTAGACAGGAAAATTGTTTCAAGTGGCATTGGGTTCTTTGCAGAAACTAATGTTACTGGCTCTTGCTTTACCAAGTCTTGATTGGTTATAGAAATGGTGAAAGTTTCCATATGGACGAAAAAGTCAGCCAATGTGCTTTTCTGAGGAGAAAAATTAACAATGTGATGGTTTACTTGTAGTGGTTGAATGAATGTGTTTAAGATATAGGAAGGAGAAGATTGGTTTACAATAGGGTAGGATAAGCATGACTAGGTTTCAATGTTGTGGGTCCTAATTGATTGGCCAAAAGGAAGGTTTGTTTGTGGTAATTTAACTTGGCATTTACCTTTCATGGGGTCCTAAAATGGAGGCATGACAGTTTCATTTCTTTACTTTTCCAATACATTATGAGGAATTCTAGACATCAGTTGGCATTAAAAATTAAAAGAATTTCATTGTGATTGAATTTGCATGTATTTGGCATAATTTCAATAAGATTGGAGCCTTTACAAGACCAAAAGAAAAAAAAGTATACCCCATTTGCTCCTGGTTTTGGTTTCTTAGTAGACAAGTGTTTTATTATATAGATTGCAAAGAGAGAGAGGGAGTGAATGGGGAGAAGGATGAGACTAGGGTTTCTAGTGGTTTTCCATAATACCTAGGGGCCTTGCTGGTTTAGGATCCGTGTGGCACATATTTATTTTTAAATTAAAATTATATTTACTTATTATAATATCTTGATATTTCTTTTGATATCATTTTTATAAGTTTATGTTACGTGTTCGGTAAATTTTTTATATTAATATCATTTTTATTGTTTAATTATTAAACCAAAAGGAATGGAAGAGATTGGCAGCTGTTGACAGCATGACCATGACATTTAACTTACCTGATTAAATTAAACACAGTCCATATTTCACGTTCTTGGAAGAAGTGATCATGGCGATGAAATAGACTTGGTCAACAATAGGAGACTTCTTTTGATCTTGGCATATTTACAAAGCCCACATTCATTAAAAGAAAAAGGGCAATTACTAGCCTACTTGGAGAAGAAACATTGGGCCAAGGTTTAGGCCTATGCAAGTTCTTGTTTGAGTTAGACAGAAAAAAGTAGTTGGCTTCAGCTTTGGCCCTCAGCCCTTTGGCATTGGCATGGCTTTCATTGCCCATTAAGCAAACAATCAGAGATAAAGAAATTCAAATATAAATATTAACCCCTCATGAATAAATAAATGTAAAAATCGAAAACTCTCAAATATAAATATTAATAATTTTTAAAATATTTATTTTAGAAAATTTTAAACTTTTACTTTTACAATTTTTTAAAAATAATATTTTATAATTAAATGTTAATGTATACATATTATATTTTGTCACATTTAGACCATTTGGTCACCAAAGCTTGTCTAACGCCCTAAATAATGTTAGATAATTGTAAGATTGTAGTAAAAAGAATTACAGGTGAAATATTTTTTATACAATTATACATAGATATAATATTGTTTAATGTATAAACAGAGTTCTTGGTGCTTAAACATGGCAGCCATAGCTGGCCCCCTTCTTGTTGTTCTTCCTTCCAAGAAATTCCCACGTTGCTTGCCCTTTGAAAATGGTTTCTTTCTATGGTGGATTAATCAATTAAATAATAAACTATCTGCTCTCTGTCAATGAGACACAGATTTGGAAAAATAAAAATAAAAGGCAAGACAAAGTCAGCAGAATTCCAACCCCTTCCTTTCTTCCTCTACTTTTCTAATAACTCAGTGGTCAACCTCTTCAACTAAAAAAAAAAAAACTTATACTCGTCATTGGGTTATAAATTTATCATATAATATGAATTAATAAAATTTATAAAATACCAATTAATGAAAACAATATCTATTTTAATGCTATATTAAATTTTTATAATGAATACTTAAATCTCAAACCAATTTACATTAAATGAAGATCTTGATTATATTTATATATCTAAAATATTTTTGATTTTGCAGTTGTGGAATTTCGTTTCAACCCGTTAATCAGACATTTAGTTAAAATATAGTAAGGTATATAATGATATTTTGAATATTTTTATATACATGTATAGTGTGTATAGTGTGTATAGTGTGTATGATTATGATAACAGTAAAATCCATTGGAGAAACGTGAGACACGTGCAATGGAGAGAGAGAGAGAGAGAGGGAAAGGGGTAAGGTGCAAAACAACTTGATTCTCACTTTTAGTATATGCTAATGATGAAGAAGAACTCTCACTTCATTCATTGATTTGTGTTTTAAATTCTCATGAAGTACAGTAGAACTACTGCTACCTTAATTAATGTTTAGAACTTAGAATTCGTTATTTACAAAGATTTTAGGTTCGGATTATTGGGTTTTTGAAATATACAAAAATAAAAATACCACCTATTATATAATTTAAAAAAATCATATCATTTGATGTTAAAATCATAAATGACACCTTATGTCGTTTTTATGAATAATTTTAAAAATTCATTTTAATTAAAAAGGTTTCAATTTAAAATGAATAACTAAAAGTTTTATTTTATTATTATATATTTTAATCATATACTTACTTGTTTACTACATAAAAGATCCACCTCAAAACCAACCATACTTGAAGTGCTTGATTATCATGTATTTAAATAATCTAAGTCAAGATTAGGGTAACCGCCATTTGCAATTTTTTTAATTATGGCCTCTTTTTGGATGGTTTTTTATTCTTGCTTGTAGATAAATAAATAAAAATATTATTTAATTTTAGTCTAATAATATATAACGACTTAAATTAGCTTAGCCAATCAAAAGACACGTTCTGTCCTGGACCGCACCTTTTCGGCTGCGGCCACTTCCGTCATGCCTTAGCCACACCTACTTCTTCTCTCTTTCGTTGTTTTTCTAAAAGAAATATTAAGATGGTTTTGAATTTTTTTAATTAAGGTTTTTTATAATTTTTTTAAAAAATAAAAAATTATGAACATAAATAAAATAAAAAATTTAATATATATACATGTGTGTATATATATATATATAATAATTTCAACTAAATTAAAGATGAAATATAAAAAATGATTTGAATTTTTTTAATTACAAATTTTTATACTTTTTTGTGAAAAAATAAATGATCATAAAATTTCATAAACAAAAGAACATAATCATTACTAAATAAGTATCTGTATGCGTGCATGTATATATAATAATTAAAATTAAATTAAAATTTTAAGATAATTAATTAAAAGATAGAGATTTTAATTTGAGTATGAAGTACTTAGATGATTTAAAATTTTTTTGAATAGAATTATTTTTTTTATTGTTTTACTTAATTAATTAATGAATAAAAAAAGATGAAAACAAGGTCTAATAATGAGAAAAATTAATTATTCTTAATTAAGTATGCTCAAATGAATAATTCATTTAAATAAGCCAAGGCTTAGCTTAGCTCAATTTAAAGTTTAAAACCCAAAACTTCAAGTGGATGGCAACAGCTAGTTTTTCCTAATTAAAGAATTTGGTCTGGCAAAAATTTATTTAAAAATTTTTGCCAAATATTTTAAGTTTTTATTAAATTTAAAAAAATTAAAAAAAAACTCCATCTCACTTTCTGTTATTATACAAATAAAATATGTAATAAACAAATAAATAAATAAATAATATATTTTAAAAAAAAACCCAAAGCAGAAGTAGAAGACGATAGTTTGGTCATTCAAGAAAAACAAATCCATTCAAAAACAACGTTGTCATCCCCGTGGCGTCGTACCTCGCGTCAACTCCACGCTCTACACGCCTGCAAGGCTGCAACGACCGTTCTTTTTATTACCTCAACTTTCAACATCTTCCGCCTCTTTTTTTTTGAAGATTATTAATCATAAACAAGTTTTTCTTCTTTTTTCCCGGACAATAAATATGCATTAATTTCACCTATAAAAGAAAAGTTTATAATTTATATTTTTTTATTTTAAATAAAATGTTATTTTGATATTTTTTATTTTACGTGACATTAATGTAATATTGACATGAAAATTGATATAATCGTATATTATTATTTACTATAATATATTAATGTTAATACAAAGTAAGATGAGTCTTAAATTTATAAATAAAGATATTTTTTTATATATTTTTTGAATTAAAAATATAAATTTGTGATAAATAGTATTAGAGTTTATTAAGATAATTACTCACGTGAAATTGATTATAAAAAATACCAAAATTAAAATCTCCATAAATAAAGCATTGAATGATGAATCCCTCTCTTACATAACTAAAAGAGTCAATGCAGCTTTCATTTGATAAAAATGTCTATTATATAATGTGAAAGGACAAATGACATCTTAACTAATAATAATTGAATAGTTTAAGATTTTTTTAAAATATTATGTTTGTTTTAATTTTTCAACAAAATATTATAAATTACATATAATTTTTCACGTTCATACGCTAGTAAAATATAAACATAATAAAAGAGAGTTAATATAATTGAAAGTTGAAATCTATTTCATAAACAAATATATAACATAAAATATAATTTATTTATATTATAAACAATAAAAAAAAATTCATGTCAATGGATTGTTATAAGCATAAACAAGGTAAGAACATTTAGCATAAGTGACTGATAAAACTGTTCTCTATCACACTAACATTGTGACTCATACTTAAAATATTTCTATACAAATAATATAATTTTTGTTATTCTATTTTGTATTTTATCATAATCGTTTATTTTATTTTATCATAATCGTTCATTTTGTCATATATTATATCTTGTCCCAAGATGTATAAGAACAAATTAAAAAAAAATTTATGGAAATTGATGTGCGCATGCATAGCAACATCCGGTATTTTCACAAAATTTTCCTCAATTTGCTAACGTGGCAAACATTGATTGGTTAAGAAAGCCAAAAACATTTTTGTGCTGCCGTATATTATGCCAGGAAAATTTTGCCTACGAGGAATCTTTTAAAACGCCACGCGTCCTTTTATGAATTCACGCACCACGAAACGCGCGTGACGATATCATTTTCTATCCGTCATAAAAACGGACCAGACCAGAGCCCCACCCCTCCCTTATGCCTTCGTATATATTTAATAAAATTTTCTCCCTAACAAAAACGACTTCGGTTTTTTTTTTTCTT